CCCTGCAATAGAAGGAGGAAGGGTGGATTATGAGGAATATGGCAGGATGAAGGACAGAAAGAATGATATGAAATGTGAAGGAAAAAACATATGAGGTAAGGTTGAAGGAGCTAGACATATTCAGCTTGGTGAAGAGAAGACCAAGGGGTGGCATGACTGCACGCTAAATACCTCAATGGTTATCACAGAGATGAGGAGGCAGGTCTTTTCTCTGCTGCCCCAGAGGGTAGGACCAGGTTTGATGGCTTTGAGTTACAGGAGGAAATGTTTTGATTGAACATCAGAAGGAACTTCTTGGTAGTAAGAGTGGTTCAACAATTGAACTAATTTTGCCTAGAGAAATTATAGGATCTCTTTCTCCTGACATCTTCAATAAGAGGCTGGGCAGCTACCTGCTGGGGATGCTCAGTCTAGCTAGAGTTCCTGCATTGATCAGGGCTGGACAATAGATCGAGTTGTGTACATTAAGATGGTTGTAGCTATTTTTGATGCCCCATAGGACCCCTTCCAACTCTAAGATTCTATAACTTCTTCCTTCTTTCACTGTGCAAGCAAGGGCTATTAGATCTGCTACTACTTCTACTACTACTTGTTCCCCTTCACAGGGAGGATGAAGAGATGTTTGTGTGGGTATCATGTTCACAGGTGCCAATAATCAGCCATAATGGTCTTCCTAATTACAGCAAGGATACCCAATATCTATGTCTTGACCTTGGAACACCAGTTACATCCTAAGTTACATCTCTGATGTATTGATAAGGCATATTCCTCTCTAAAGGCATTTGTCCACACAAAAATGCATGGAGGATGGAGCAGATCTGAAATTTATGGTTCCACATGCTGTATGCCTCCCCCACCCTTGCAACACTGGGTGCATGTGTTTGTTGTTTTGGGCCTTCAAGTCATTTTTGATATATGGAGACCCTAAGGTGACTCTATCATGGGAGGTTTGGGGACTGAGAGTGTGTGACTTGCCCAAGGTCAACCAATTGGTTTCCATGGCCAAGTGGGGTTGCCATGAGTCAGAAACAATGTGAAGGCACAGAACAACAACAAAAATGGGGAAAATGCAGTCTGTGGAGGACATGAGGGCCAGAGATGCCCAGCTCTGAAGCCTCCCAAAGGCCACAGACCCACCAAATGTTTTTAAAATGGCAATTTTGCACCCTCAAAAAACCAAAAGCACAGCTCAAAAAAATCTGCCAGAAATGAAAACAAATATATTGGGCATGCTTGTGCAGCTGTCCAGATGTGTACAGGGGTGAAAAATTGACACCCACACCCACAGTTGTGTTATTATTATTGTGTGCCTTCACATCATTTCCAATCTGTGGTTACCCTAAAGATTTCTCATGGGCATGATTTGTTTGGGGTGGGTGGGATTGTCATGTACTCATGGCCTAATGATAGGGCTAATTCTGATAATACTAAAGAATGGTTAACTGTGGCACAGTTAAATTACTATTGACAAAAAAAAAATTATGGGCAAAATATAATATTGATGAGACTGTGAATCTTCACTTCATTTCAGTTCCAGCTGCAACCCACAGCACCTTTTCAAAACTTTATGACTCCTTTCTGGAGGTCTCCAGTGAGGGGTATCATTCTTTAGTTCTGATCACTGTGGTTCATAATTCACTTCAGAGGAATTGCTTACTTAGATGCAAGTAGTTTCATTTGTTGGGCATTTATTTACATAGTGAGAAATGGAAAGGCCCTTATGTGCCAGTGGTCTGCACATGTAGGCAGTTTGTGACCAACGTGTGTGGAGGCCTCTTCCCCCAAAATTTGGATAGGTGCACCCTCTCAGTTCAGTCCATAAACTACCTCTGTCCACAAGCAGCCCAATCTAATGTTGGGTCTATGGGCCTAAGCAGACTG